CCCCAAAACCCCAAAACCCCAAAACCCCTAGGTATAATAATCTAGTTGGGAATATTATATTTAAGATGTAAGTCAGGTTTTGGGGAGAGTTTTGATGAAAGGAGGTTTAGATGAAGGTTTTAGGCCGTTTTGACTAATTTTGAGCGTTTAGAGGATGAGTTTGGACCAGGAAGAGTATAGTTTGGTGAATAGTTTGAATAGCAGATTGAAGAAGTTTAAGGTGAGTCTGGAGTTTAGGAGTTTTGCCTGATAATTGTATATTTTAATAGACTAAAAACTTTGTGGGAAGAAATTTAGTGATAATCTTTATGAGCTCGTTAAAATTTAACTCTAAAGGTAGATAAAACTTCTATAAAGTTTTCAAACTTAAATTAAAATATTCAAAGAAATTTAGAATCTTTTCTTCCCTTAACCAAATCATATTGGCAATCTTTCCTTCTAAATTTTTAAAAGAGATTTGTTAAAGCTTAGAGTTCTCTTATTGTTGTGAAATCGACTTCGAAATGAATCATGGCATCGAAGAGCAATGGATTTGGCATAGATTTTAGGATGATATTGTTTTACTTTATTTGTTAATTATGATTTGGAGCATAATGAAAAGCTTATTTAATTTGAGGAAGACTGTTTAAACTGTTTATACTAAGGAGTTATATAAATCTGAATGTCTAAATTCAATGGAAATATCGTTTGATTCAAATGCCATGAGAAGAAGGCATATCTTTAATAAAGCGTCAGGATTATAGTAAAAAATCAAACTTAAAAGTAGCCTTTGAATAGTCTGCTCTTTCTAACTCTCTAAATTTCCTAGATTTTAAAGCGAAACCTTTTACTACGAATAATCAACATCTTGTTTATGTTGAATTATTGATGTGAATTTAAAACTATCATGCTTAGATTAAAATACCAAAGAGTCAGGGCAACAAAACCAGGAACTTGTCAAGTAGTCAGCAATTCAGATCCCACAGTCAGACAGCTAAACCAAAATCTTTGAAGGACCAGTTTGGTTCTTCTGGAACTTTTGCTCAAGCTTCAAATAATGAGCTTAATTTGCCCCCTCTTCCTCCAAGCCTAAAGGAGATTGGCAAGACTTCATCTTTTATTCAACACAGAAAGCGTGCTTTTGGGACTGTGGCAAAGTGGGACCCTGTACAACAAAAGGAAGTTAAAACGAAAGTATGGGGTAGGACAGCCATTACTTCACTTCAATCCTTACCTATTTCAACCAAACATCAACAAAAAAGAATTGTGAAGCTTACTAAAAAACTTAACAAATTAAACACTAAGGCCAAACCTGCAGGTTTTAATAGGCTTAAGAAGGATTCGAAAGAAACTGTGCAATCTTCTGTCTCTCCTGCCTCAGCACAAGCAATGTAGGTGTTCTAATTTGTCTAAAGACAGACTTTGGCCTAAAAAATAGTAAAAATCCTGAGGCCATTGGACTCATGCAGTCAATTTGTTACTAATTGCAAGCTTTGATACTGAACTGATTGCTAACACTATTCTAGAATTGACAGAAGAGAGAGGAGGAACAGGCGTAGGCCTAAAAGCAGTAAGCCTAGTGACTTAAACTGTAGACTTTGATAATAACTCTCTATCGTCCATGAAAAGTAGCCTCACAATTCTAAGAGGTACAAACTTTAGGTTTATTTATCATAGGAAAAACACTAAGGGATTCTGGAGATATCAATGGAGCAAGCCAAAAAGTCAGAAGAATCGAGAATATTTGTAAGATCATGCTTACCCTCAAGGATAGCAGCCAGAGTTCACAGAAATAACAAGTAAATAACTTTTTTCAGGTTAGATTTCCAGTGTTTGGATGATAATGAGTTTATAGGTTCGACCAATTTGGATTTGATCCCACCATTAAGAAAGAATCTGAGAGAAAACAGGATTCTCTGTCTTCAAGAATAATAAAACTAAGAAAGAGGAGGTATAAGTTAAATCAAGAAGACGAAAGTTCTCCTTTAAACATGATTCAGTCAAAGTTCAATCAGCTATACAGGTCTCTGAAGCAATAAATAAAGTGTGTTTAGAAGTAGTCATTTCAATAAACCTAATATATTTAGGGGTTTTGGGGTTTTGGGGTTTTGGGGTTTTGGGG